CAGGTGGTCGCGCAGGCGCGCGGACTCGGCGCGCGAGATGTGCAGCTGCGACAGGGCGTGGGCGAGACGGGGGCCGTGGGGCGCCGCCGCGGACAGCTCCGCGGGGGAGGGGGTCGGGCCCGGGGGCGGCGGCGGCGGCGTGGAGGAGGGCGGCAGGAAGGCAGACGCCGCCGCTGAGAGCGCGCGGTTGTCGGACTCGAGGGCGCGGATGCGCGCCTCGAGCGCGGCGATGGTGGGCATCGCGTGGTGGCAGTGGCGCGGGTGCGGGAAGGGGTGGGGTTTGGGAAGAGAGGAGATGGCTGGGGATGGAATTGTGTTGCTCACTTCATATTTCGCAGCTCCAACACGCGTACACGTGGCAAGCTGGAGTTCCTACACTCATTGTGACGGGCATTATTTCGCAAATAATCCATTTATTTTTCACTAGTACTACACGCGTACACGTGGCACCTCAGAGGTCCATGAAAAAAAGCGAAGACAGAGTATAAATAGAGTCTGAGATAGAACTCAGTCAGATGGGGTTGTGGCGCAGTGGTAGCCCATCACTAGAGCGCGTCCGTTTTGCATACGGAAGGTCGGGGGATCGAGCCCCCCCAGCTCCATTTATTTTTGGAAATTTTTTTTATGATAGGCAACGGGTGACGGACGCAGGCGTCGCGGTCGCGGTTGGTCCCCCAGTTGGTCGGAGAGGTTGGCAGACGGAGGGGCAAATCTGGTGCAAATCTTTGCACGCCGTTTGGCGCATTGCGGCTCTGCTCGGCCTGTAATGCGCAGTCCGCAAGCTAGGGTTGAACGCGCGCCACTGCCCGTCGTCCTCGGCCCCTCCCCCTTCGCCCGCCACCGCCATGCCGTCCTCCCCCCCGCCCCCGGACCCGCCGGCCTTCTCGTCGCCGCCGCCGCCGCCGCCGCCGCCGTCGCTGCCGCCGCGCCAGTGCGAGGGCTGCGCCACCTCGCACCCGGGCACGTACGGCTCCGGCCGCTTTTGCTCGGCCACGTGCGCCAAGAAAGTCGGCGCCAAGCACAAGTGGGCCGCGCGCGCCGCCCCCGGCGTCTCGCGCCGCCCGGGTCCCGTCCGTCGCCCCCTCCCGCACATCCCGTGCGAGGCCTGCGCAAAGCCGCACGACCGCTCGTACGGCTCGGGCCGCTTCTGCTCCGTCCACTGCGCACGCAGCGTCGCCGCCACCCGCAAGTGGCAGAAGTCCCGCGCCGATAAGTCCAAGCGCTTGGACGCCATCCGCCCGGCCATGCGCCCGGCCATGCTCGCCCCGCCGCCGCCCGCCCCGTCGCACACCGCCTCCCCCGCCTCCGTCGCCGGGAAGCGCCGCCGCGTCGTCGCGCGCGCCATCCAAACGCTCCCCCAAGACCACCACCATCCGCCGCCCAGCTATTACGTCACCGGCGCCACATACGCCGTCGTCTCCCCGCAGGAACCTTCCCCGGGCCACGCCCCGCGCACCGCTTCCCCCGCCGCAGCCGCGGCCGCGGCCGCGGCCGCACGTCCCGCCGCCGCCTACCTCCCCCCGACCTCCATGCCGTCGCTTCGCTACGACACCCCGACCCCGCTCCCCACACACCTCCCCGGCCCCCAATTCTACCCCCCCGCGTCCTCGCCGCCCGCGCACCCGACCCCGCTCTTCTACCCGCCACCATACCCGGTGCTGCACCCGCCGCATCTGCCGGACCACGCGCCGTACTCGCTGCTTCCCGCGGCTCCGCAGTACGCCGCATCGCCCACCGCAGTGCACGGCCCGCGCACGCCATACGCCTCGCCGTATAGCCTGCTGCCGCGCAACCCGGCCTTCGAGATGGAGACCGTGTCCCCGTCCCCGTCCCCGTCGTCGCCGGTCCCCTCCTCCGACTTCTGGCACTCGCTCCCGCCGCACGCCGCCGCCCCTCCGCACGCAAGCCACCTCCACCCGTTTGCCCCGCTACCCGCCCTCGACCCCGCCGCACCCGCCGCCCGTCACATCCTCCGCGCACACCACGCCGCCGCCAGGGACTTACCTGCCAACGCCGACGGCTCAGAGGCCGCTAGGGCCTTGCTTTCGCTGAGAGCCACAAACTCATAGCCCTGCCGTCGCGCCACCCCGTCTGATCCGCGCCTCATCTACTTCTCTCGCCTGCGCCATGACCCTTCGGGTATAGCTGTCAAGAGGCGCGCCCAATCGCACGCCCCATGCGCCGCTGCCCCTGAGTCGGGCGTGTACCACGGCTCGCGCGCCCTCGCCTCCGTCGTGCGCCTTGCTCGCCCTCCGCCTCCCGCTACACGCACGCTCGCACGAGTGCCGGCGCATAGCGCGCGCGCGTGCTCGCGCGCACATGCAAAGCTGCGCCTCGTCGCCGCCCGTGCACCCGCTGGCGAGGAGCGAGCGGCGTGGTCGTCCGCATACACTGGAGGCAGTCGCAACCGCTAGAGCCGTCTGGGGCACCGCGTCCACAGGCAGAGTAACGTAAGCACATAAAACGAAAAGCAATAAAAATCTTGCCCCGCCGCGCCGTGTGCCAGCCGGGGCACGCCTTCGTCAATACTCACTCAGTGCGATAGAGGCTGCCGGTCGCGCCGATTGCTGTGCGCCCGATATGCCGCCCCCCACCCTATCGAGTCCGTGCTCGATACGACTGCAGCGCAGGTTTAAAGATAGAGTTTCTTCCCTGAAACATATCGCAAAAGCAGTCGCAACCAAAGCTAACGTCCTGTACACCTGTAACAAAACGTAGCAGGTGCGTATCGGGATTCCCCTTTTTAAAAAATGCGACTCACCATCATTCAGTCAGGTACCTCCGCTCTAAGAGCAAAATGCAGAGCTTCTCCGCTAAATATTTGGTAGGTCACGCTGCCGAGTGCGCATGCCTTGTATATGTATGTAGTTAGCAGAGTCTAAGAATAGAAATTGTGTGTGTGTGTGTGTGAGTGGGTGTGAGCGTATCTGCTCATTTCGATTGTCTTGGGTTTCGATCCCCTTCCATTTGCATAAGTCGAATCTTCACTAGTGAAAGCTCGTCGCGTACTTTTTCTCGCTCGGATAATAACGCCGCAATTTGCTTCTCGACCGCTGTCGCCCGCTCCTCAAAGTGCCGCTTGCGCTCAAGCAGCTGTGCTTCCAGCCTCGCCTGTTCCAGCTGGTTAGCCATAATTCGCAACCCTGCTGCGTCGTTTGCACTAGAACCACCACGCCCTTTGCGTTGCCTGCTCGTCGCAGTGACTCTTTGCCGAGATTTTGGTCCCCTGCAATCTCCTTGCTGCCCCGCCGCCCCAGCGTCCCTTCCCCGCTGTCGAGAGTCTAACCCGCCTGTCAATATTACGTCAAGCCCGCCTGGCGTGTCACCCCCGTTGAGTCGATTCGCAAAGTCCTCTACTTCCTTGTCCATATCGTCGGGACATCGAATAAACGAAGGGAGAATATCCTCCGCGTGGGCCCTACTCTCCTTCACACGCGATTTCGGCTTCGGGGACGGTGCCCGTGGAGTACTTCCCGATTCACCAACTAGAACGATGCTTGCTTCTTCTTTCTCGTCTTGAGCGGCCTGTGTGCCGTTAGGAGACATGTGTGCAGCGCTGAGACTATGAGGTGTCTTGTCCGAAATCGCATCTTCCTTGTCTACGCTCGACCCCTTGCGTGCTTTGATATGTGCAGGTTGAGGCGCGTCATGCTGTACATTGATAAGCAGTTGGCTTGTAGACGAAGTATTACCATTTGCTGCTACATCAGAGGACTCCGGGCCATCCATAATGCCAACCCCTAGCGACTTGTTCTTAATTCTCGCACCCGTCGTGTCTTCAGAGACCTTTGCCTTCACAGCGTTTCCCTTCGTACCACCTTTGGCGGTGGGGATATCACGTGAGGCATCTTGATTTTCGTTCTCTTCGTTTTTGACGGTGGCGTCCGTCTCGGTCTTCGCGGTGCTCTCTGTCTTGTCGCGTTTCGGCGCTTCCCGTGGCGAACCTCTCGATGTTGCCTTCTGCTCTACATGTGCCTCCTTGGGGTCGGCCTTCTCCGAGACCAAGACGACATCGTCATCCGACGACGACAGCGTAATGATCTCTGGCGACGGCGGTACGTCCGGCGCCACTCGCGAGGTCTCGTGAAACCCGTTAGTGAGTTGTCTCTCGGGACGCGAGTCTGCCATGCCATTGGCTTGCGCGCGCGTAACGACGTTCCCCTCCGCGGACGACGGCAAGGACGAACCACATTCGTACGATGGGTCGGCAAAGGAAGCTGCCGACGGGGAATTGGGCGTGAGAATGGACTGGGAGGCGGAGGAGGATAGCGGGGGGGAGGATGACGGGGGGGAGGATGACGGGGGGGAGGATGACGGGGGGGAGGATGACGGGGGGGAGGATGGTGGGGGCGTGGGTGTGCGATCTGGCGGTTGCGGGTCGGCCTGGGCAGCGGCGCCTCGATGCTTCTTCTTCTTCTTCCGTCGCTTGCCGCCGCCCTTCCCCGGATCGGGCCCGTTGATCCACTTCTCGACTTCGTCGACGGAGTGGGTGCCCAGTTGCGGGGCGTCAGTCCTCCCCTCGTGGTCGGGGTTGGTAAAGTCGTCGACGGCGGAGAGCGAAAAAGTCTTTGCCGGCTTGCGCGCCTTGTCTGCGGGGTCGGCCTTTCCCTGTCTGCGCTGGCGCGGGGACGGGGCGGCGCGGGTGTTCGGAGGAAAGACGAAGTTGTCGAACTGGATCATACCCGTGAGGCTCTGGATGAGATCGTCCTCGACGTCGAAGGTGTTGCGGATCTGGTCCGTGGTCTTGCCCGAAATGATGGCGGCGATGGCGCGGCAAATGAGGTCGACGAGCTTGCGCATTTCGAGGTAGTACGCGGCGGAGGCGAGCTCGCACAGACGGGGCGGGTCCGAGCGGACAAAGTCGTCGTCCCACTGCTTGAGCTCGACTCTGACGTGCGGGGCGCGCTTGTCGCGCTTGTCGAGCTTCTTTGAGGCATGGAAATAGCAGTAGCGCATGATGTCCTCAAACGACTCTGCGGTGACGTGGGGAAGCGCGCAGGGATTGTCGCGCAGGGCGACGGACTGGGCGGTGGAAGAAGGGGTGACGTCGGCGGAGAGGGAGTCGGGCGTAGGGGGAGGGAGGCGGAGTGGGGTAGAGGAAGGAGGGTTGCGCGCAAGGTGGACGGCTTTAGCCATGACGACGGAGTCGACGACGGCGAGGTCCCATACGTCGTAAATGGCGTTGTCTTTGGTGATGAAGCGTGTACGAGAGATGTTGGGGGGCGGTGGAAACTCTGCTTCGCAGGGTGGGAGGCGCAGGGAGGGTGCGGGGCCGATGCGTTGACGTTTTTCGGTCATGGTTGCAGTGGGGAGGGAGAGGGAAGTGGTGGAGGTGGGCGGGGGGGAGAGGGCGGGGGGGAATGGGAGGATGGGCGAGTGGGAGGTGGGGGGAGACGAGGAAGACGGCAGGGAGGGAGGAAGACGGCGCTGCGATACAGGGCGGGGTAGGGTCTGTAAGCTGAGGGAGCGGAAGAGGAGGAGTGTCTCGCGATGGCCATTACGCGCGAAAATCGGATCATGGATCCGCTACATTACTGTGCACAACACTTGATAGCCTCCAAGGCTACTTCACGCCAATTCCGTCGTACCGGCATCCCGCCCTTCTCGGCGTTTCGCCTCCACCGCCACTCGACACAGCCTCCTCTTCTCCGCGTAACTCGCAAGCATCTGCGCCAGCCTCTCCCTGGCCTCCTCCATATGCTTCCTCCCCTCATCCCGCTCGCCATACCGGCCCCCCACGCGTCTCGCCGACTTGGGCGTCGTCGGCCCGGACTCGCCCGCCTCCATCCACATGATGCAGTGGAAGTGGGCGCACGACACGCGCGCCACGCGCGACCCCGAGTTGACAATCACCTTGACCGGCATCTCGCTCTTGCCGTTGCCGTTGTTTCCTAGCTGCCCGTACGTGTTGTTCCCCCACGCGTACACCTCGTTCCCGGACGTCATCACCATGGTGAAGTTGTGCCCGCACTTGACGTCCACCACAGACTTGCCGACCAGGTGCTCCACCAGCTTCGGCCGCACCACGTCCCTGAACACGCAGTGCCCGCACTGCCCGTCCGACCCGCAGCCCCACGTGTACACCGCGCCCATGTTGGTGACGGCCGCCGAGTGCCGGTCGCCGCTCGAAATCCCCACCACCATCAGCCCCTCCAACCCCTCTATCAGCCGCGGTCTCAACACGGTGTCCCCCTTCTTTCCGCACCCGAGCTGCCCAAACTCGTTGGAGCCCCACCCGAACACGCGCCCATCCTTGGTAATCGCAAACGAATGCCGATCCCCACACGACAGCGACGAAACTCCTTCCTGCGACAGCTCCGTAATCACGGTCGGCACGTCCCTATCCTTCGTATCGCCCAATCCCAGCTGCCCGTGCGCCCCCCATCCCCACGACCAAACGTCGCCGTCCGCCGTCAGCACCAAATTATTATGATACCCCGCCGTGACCGCCACGGCCTCGTGGCGCATCAACCTCTCCACACACGTCGGCTGCGCGCGAATCTTCTCGTCGCCATGGCCGAGCCTTCCGTTTTTGCCGCCGCCCCACGTGAACACGAGCCCGGTAGTGGTCCTCGCGATCGTATGGTAGCGTCCGCAGTACACGTCCGCCACCGGGAGTGACTCGGCGTTGTTCTGCTCGATCCTCCTCTGGCCCTCGGCCGCATGCGCCCTGTCCGCGCCCCTGTGCAGCGGCGGCGCGGCGGTCTGCGCGGGCGCGATGAGGAAGACCTGCGTCGGGTCGCTCATATCCGTGCGATCGCCCAGCCCCAGCTGGCCGTACTGCGAGTAGCCAAAGACGAACAGACGGTTGTCGGCGAGCACGACGGCCGTGTGCCCGCCGCCGCACGCTGCCTGCTTCACGGCCACGCCCTCGAAGCCAGAGACCTTCTCCGGGACGCGCGCGTCCGTGCCAACGAAGGCGCGGCCGAGACGGTAGTTCTTCGCGCGACCCCATGTCCATACGGTGCTCTCGGCGGCGGCCATGGTGCGAGCGTGGGTGCGGGAGAGGGGGGGAGGGGAGGGGACGGCGAGGGGCAGCGGGGAGGGGCAGCGGGGATTGGGAAAGGACAGGGCTTCTGTGTGAAGGGTTTGGCAAACAAGGATAAGGCAAGACTTTTGTGCCAGCGGGGACATACCGTGCTGGACCCAAGGTTGGTTGTCGGCGTTGTATGTAGACTGCATCGCGGATGGACCTCAAAGGGTTGCTTTGAATCGTGTCCGCAGTAGCAAGACATAAGTTTAATACTGTAACAACAGCATGTCCCACGACGCACTGTAAACTACTCTAACTGTAAATTCACCCAACCGACATCCCGATCCCGAACGCGCTATGCAAATAACCCTATGCAAATAACCCTGATAGCCGCGGCTATCGCATTGCTTTACAGGCTCTCCAACCATCGGCGGCAACGCGCGCGTTTCCAAAAGGCGACTCCGTCTTCCCGCCCTCGCCCGCCCTCGCCCGCCCTCGCCCGCCCTCGCTCACGCCCCAAACTCGGACGCCAAGTGCAGCGCGGCGTAAATGCGCACCATGGTGGCGCCGACGGACACGAAGCCGGAAATCACGAAGGCCAGGTACACGCACTGCACGTAGAACTGCTGCTGCCGCGGCAGCGCCTCGTACGACTCGCGCACCTGCCGCAGCCACACGTCCACCCGCGCCTCCTTGTCCTTGTTCGGCCCCTGCATGCACACGCGGGGCCGCCGCGCTCGCGCTCGCAAGTGTCGCCGCGGGCGAGGGCACACCAGGTACCGCCGCGCGCACCGAGCGCTGACGACGCCCGACCCGATGAACGCCGCCGTCATGCCGAGGATTTGCTGAAGAGGAGGAGGCGAGCACAATGCCACCCCACCTGTAGCAATCGATGGATGGCCCAGGCGCGCGCTCTTTTGACAGAAATAACCCCATACTGTATCATCGCACTGCCTGAAACTACAATTTTTCTTTTTTCATCTGCCGCCCGACACCACCAGTATACTGTACATGTCCCCCTCTCCAAGGGCCTTCCTGCCAACCACATCGCATCCAGTTGCTCGCATCTCATGATTCACAGCGTCCGTACCCGTACAGTCGCGGACGAATCCAAAACCTCCGAGCCCCCAATCATCCTCCCAACAAAACTCTTCCCCTCCTCACACACCTTTCAGCAGCACCCGAAAACCCGCACATACCCCTCGCTGTCCGCGGTCACAATGACGAGCCCGCTGGTCCTCAAATTGGGGGACGCGGCCCTCAAATGGAGCGCCTCCCTGGGGACCTGCTTCGGCGCGAACACGGCTGCTGTCAACGTGCCGCTCTCCTGAGCGACGAACGACTCGTACGCCGTCAACTTCTCCTTTCTGGCCACGTCGTTCTCGTCCTGCAAGTTCGACGGCCGGCGCGCCGTCTTCTCCCGCAGCAGACTCAGCGAATCATCCACCTCCCAGATGTACACGCTGCGGCTCTCCCCGCCCGACAACACGTACCGCTGCCCCGGCGCGAACGACGCGTTGAACCGCGACTCGGCGTTCTGATGCCCCAGAAACTTGGACAACACCGACTTGTCGTCCAGCCGGTACAAGCGCAGCCGCGAGTCGTTCGACGAGATCATCACCTTGTCGCTCTTGCCCATAAACCGGAACCCGCATATCTTCTTCCCCAGCGCGTTCTTGGCGCGTCGCGAACGCACGTCCAGCTGGGTGGTGTGCTTAAACTGCCACTCGCCCTGGATTTCATCAAACAGCGCATAGAACTTACATCGGCCACGATAAGTCCCCAATAACGCCGTAGTGCCATCCGGCGTGATGGCGCACGCGGTGATAATATCATCCGTGTCCGCCGAGCTGAGCCGCTTACTCTCCCTCAAGTGCCACATGTTAGCGACGCCCCCCGCCTCGCCCGAGATGCAAATCTGCTCATCGGTGGGGTGAAACGCCACGCACGTGACGATGTCGCTGCTCCACAGCTCGCGCAGGCAGGCCTTGGCGCGCGGATGCCACAGGCGAATGGACTTATCCGCTCCGCCCGACAGCAAAAAGTCGTTCTTGCTCCAGCTCAGGGCCAGGACGGCCGAGCGATGGCCGCGAAAGGTGGCCAGCGGGGCGCCCTTGCGGATGTACATGAAGGCGGCATGCATGCGCATGGCGCCGGTGGCCTCGGCGCTCTTGACGATGTTGGCGCGGTTATCCTCCAACCTGGCGTCGATGTCCCAGATCTTTATCAGGCCGTCCTGGCCGGCCGTGGCCAAGTACCTGCCGGACTTATTGAACTCGATGACGCGTATGGGGCCGACGTGGGCGCGCACCTTCTGCCAACGGTACAAGGTGGCAAAATCGCGCTCCCTCTTCTTGTGGGCGACTACGCGCACGAAGTCGGAGGAGCGGAGCGTGCGGGTGGCGGCCTGGAGCTCGTCGGAGCGGGTGCGGCTGGAGGCGGGGGGACGGCGCGTACGCGCGTCCAGCGGGGGCATAACGGGAGGCTTTCCGCGCGGGGGCCGCAGCTGCGGGCATGGCGGGGGCTTCTCGACCCACTCTTGGTCGGTGACGTAGCTGCGCATTCCGGTGTCGAGGTCCTTGAGGAGAAATGTTTCTGGGTGCGGGGGAGAGGGGGAGGGGGAGGGGGAGGGGGAGGGGGAGGTGGAAGGGGGGGTTAAATCTGGTTGGGGCGGAGGGTCAGTCATTGTGGAAGAGGGAGGGAGATGATGGGGCGATGGGACGGGCGAAGGGGTGGCGGGAAGGGGTTCAAATTGGGGGGGCAACATTGCGGTTGGTCATGGTGATGACGACGGGAGGGGGGACGCGAGGGGGGGCGGGAAGGTGAAGGGAGGGGACAAAGAAAGCGCCATCCCCTTTGTGGCCCCAGCACATGTACAGTATGGCACTGTAAGTCCCCTCATTCCGCACGTCCAGCTTGTCATACTGCACCGCACACGTGGCAGTTGCTGATGCCCCCCCCCTCACCTCACCTCTCACCTCACCTCACCTCACCACCACCGCCAAGCACGCCCGTCTCCTCGCCCGCCTCCTCTCCTCCATCCTCAGCCCTCTTGCGGCGGCGTTCCTCTCCTTTCGCTCGCCTCTCCACTCATGGCATCTCGCCAGCAAGTACAAGCACATCTCCGTCTCGGCGCCGCCCATCGCGTGCGCCTCGCTGAGCAGGCGCACCACCTCTGCCTCGGGCGCCCGCCCCGCGGCGGCCGCCACGGCCATGAGGCACTCCGCGTGCAAGCGGCACGCGCGCGCGCGCACGCCCAGCCCCATCCCGCCCGCGGCCTTGGCCAGCACGGGCTGCAGCGCGCGCAGCGCCTGCGGCCCGCACGTTGCGGGCTCGTGCTCCTGCATGCGCAGCAGCGTCTCCGTCAGCGTCAGGACGCTCGCCACGTGCGCGCCCTCCAGCCCCAGGCCCTGGCTCAGTGATACTGCCGCCAGCACCGCGGGAAGCGCCGCGTGGTAGCTGTCGCCGAGCAGGTGCGCCTCGGCCCGGAGACGCAGACCCTCCACTACGCGCCCCGGACGCGCGAGAGAGGCCGCGCGCCGGCAGAGAGCCTCCGCCTCCTTGGCCGCGGCTTGCAAGCCTTGGCATGCGAGATGCACAAGGCAACGCGCTTCCAGTGCGTCGAGAGCGAGGTCTTCGCCTAGGGGTCCTATCGTGTCGACTTTGCAGCTTTCAGACAGCCCTGTCAGCGTTTCGGATCGCTTGCGAGCCGTCACCGTGTCGCCTTCGGAGAGGCTGTGTTGGAACTCCAGCCAGAGGAGGCAGGTTGAGAGAAGTTCCAGCTCGGGCTTGCTTGCCGCTCCGGTAGACTTGCGTTGCTTGTTTTCAACCTTGATCGCCTTTTCCAGCATCCGTTTTGCCCCCTGGAAGTCGCCTTCCAGCGCTGATAGCGACGCTACTGCTGCAAGCGCTCGCGACTTGCTTGAGCTCAGACGTCCTTGCTCTTCTCGTTCAGCGTAGGAAAGCGCCATTTTCGCCACCGAAAGCGCTGCGGGAACTGCCGCATGCGATTCCCACGCTGCGGCGCTTACGAGCAGACTGTCCACACGCGTCTCGGGCCTGCGATAGTTAATCCGCTCTTGGATTCGAGCAATGCGCCCCGCTGCAATCCGACCTTCCGTCGTCCCGGTCCTAATCGCTTTCGCCCCACTCGTCCGCATGGAATGCAGGTTCACAGAGTCGGGCACCCCGTCTGACACGGGCGTGAAGACGGCGGACACTTCCTCCTTGGCAAGCGCGAGCTGGTCATTCCCATGCCGCAGCAACTGATGCCGCCGCGCCACAGAGGAAGACGTCCGCGCAATCCAGCTCAGCGCCTTGGCCTGGCAGGCGTCGTCATTGCAGTGCTGCGCCGCGCGAATCGTGTCGTCGAGCGCCACAGAAGCGTACTCTGGATTGCCAAAGTGTGCGTGCAACACGCCAAGCGACAACGCCGCGTACTGGTGCCCCTGAGCATCAAAAATTCCACTTCTGTCACCTGTCTGCCCGTCTATCCTCGCGACGGCCCGATTAGCGTTTGCCCTGGCGCTCTCGTAGCCTATTTCAGATAAAGATAGATCGTAGTAGCGATGAAGCGCATCTACGGCTGTGACAAGATCCTTTTGTCGTTGAGATTCAAGCTGCATTACATAATCGATCGACGGCAATGTCATTTGTGAGCGACGTTCCGTCCCGAGGTTTGGAAGCGATTGCATCGCCAAATTCGTAGCTGCGACAGGCTTCCTAGATTCGACAAACAGATCTGCGAAAGCGTTCAATTCCGCCTCAGACTGGATGGGCAATCCTTTCGCTAAATCCAGCGCGGCCTGCCGAGAGACATGCGGCGCCGGTAAAGTAGCACGCGCAGTATACGACGGTATAGTCGCGGCCGGGTTCGGATGGACGAACAAGCGCAGGTCATGGAGCAATCTTGAAAGAGCATCGAAAGCGAGCGATGCAAAGGCGACGCTAACCTTTCTCAAAAAGCACGCAATGACGCCATCGCGCTCGTATCGCCTGCGAATATCCGGATCGGCGTTGACATCCATGAGTTGGACGGCCTTCTGCAGCCCGTCCGGGGAGCGGAGCACTGCATCTAGGACGACGCGCAGAACCTGCTCAAGAGTAGTGATTCTAGCAGCGGGGAGTCGGAGCGCGTGATGCTGCGCAATGTGTGGGTCGGGACGGAAGCCGATTCGGTGGATGACAGAGAGGATGTCGCTAAAGGATTTCGCAGTGGGAGAGGAAAGTGGGGGGTGGTCGACGGCGTGGGGAGTGCCTACCTCGTCAGCGACTAGCGCATAGAGGAGAGGGTAGGCTCGGACCCCGACTTCGCCTAGCGTGGCCGCACCCGCGGCTAGAGCGATTACAAAGGGACGGGGCTGGAGGTAGCGGACGGCGGATGCGCTGTCCATGGTGGGAAGGATATTGCAAACCTTGCACCTGGCGAAAGAGTGAGGGGGCGATGACCTGTGGTCGGAGGGGTTGTTTGTACCCTGCAAACTAAAATTCCGTTGATCGACTTTGGCGGAGGAATTGGATTGCTTGAACTGCAGTAAATGAACTGCAGGTTGGCTTTGAATTGAAAAATCTAAAGGGAAAAATCGGAGAATTCCCGCCATGGCGCACGACGTTTAACGCTTAGCACTCTTTCTCCCCCCTCCCCCCCTCGCATGAGCATCGCCGTGCCCCCGGATGACCCCTGCGACGCTGCACGCCTTTCTCCGCAGTCTATCGCAAGCTGACACCGCGTGGACGACGGCCTCAACCTCTGGGGCCGCCCACGCGCAAGCCGTGAGCAACCTATTGGTGACGCTATCCGACGCGACACTCCACAGCGGGTCGTCCCCGCCGGTCGTCGGGCAGCTCTCGGCGCTGCACAATGCGGCGACGGAGAGCATGAAATGGCTACGGAAGTGCCTCGCGCGCCTGAGCGCGGCGCTGCGCGGGGCGAAGCAGGCGCAGCAGACCGTGGCGACGGCCCGCGGCAGGGCGGGCGAAGCGGCAAACGCGCGGGTGACCCCGGTCTCGCGGTGGGCGGAGCTGATGGGCGAGGTCGTGGAAGGCCTAGAGTCTGACTTGAAGGATAAGCAGGGCATCGTTGCTACGCTGCACGAGACGGCGAGTACCGCGTACGTGGTTAGGGAACGACTGCAGGTGGCCGTCGCCACTTGGCTGGAGCAGCCCAGCCGCAATGTTGGGCGGGCGGCGGTTCTACTGGCCGCGTTCGAGGCTGAAGATGCGCAGATGGTCGCGACTGGCATGTGGACGGGGGAGCGGATGCAGTCGCCGGTGAGGAAGGTTGAGGAGGTTGGGAAAGCGGTGTCGCCGGCGCTCGCTATGCTCAAGGAAGCCGGGCAACGGAAGAAGCGATAGCGGATTTGGCTGGGGTTGAGTCGATTGCTTGATGGGACGGGAGTGATGTTTGTTGTAAGGGACGAAAATCGGCCTCCTCTCGTCGAGATTTGCATAGGTATCGTCCCTCCAAAAGTAGGCTGTCCATAGTACCTGAAAGGTGAGTTGTTTATTCCTTGAATGGAAGAGATATTCCATATTGGCGAAGGAGAGGACCCTATTAACGTGAGTTTGGCGTCCCAGATGTGATCGAAAGTATGAATCCAGCGGCGCTGTGCTCCCTGAGCTGCGGACTATAATTATTATAGGGCAATTGCCATCGCTCCGCAGCTGTAGGTTTGCACCCATAGTATATGTTGCGGGAGATGCCCTCCATGAAGTTTTCGTTCGGGCATCCCTTGTGCAGTATTGACAATAACATTCTGCTTGCATCATGTTGCAAGATGCGTTCCACGATGTCAAATTCTTGGCGAGCGCTCTCCTTCCCAACCTCTTACCATCCACATGCTAAGAAATGCAAGACGATAGTTCGGGAGGGTAAGTTTCGGGGGAGAGGTGAAAGACAATTGACCTGCAGGTAAGCGTGTCGAGCGATGGAGGAAGGGGCAGTAGAAGGGGCCAGGTTTGTAGCAATTGCACTTTGGTAGATTTGCCAACAATGGGAGAAACAAGAAATGGGAGTGCATTCTCAAGACGGGACGGCGCAGATGCCCGAGAGCCACGTCAGCCATCACTTCTCACTCATAGTGGAACGCGGCGTAGGGTTGTAAAAGATGTTCGAGGAGAGGCACCTCCATGGGTCAGTCAGATATTACTGCCTGTAGTACAGACTCTGTACGTAATGCATGTGGCAGTCAACTGTCGGTGCGCGCGCGCATTTGCACGGATAATATGATACAGTGCCAACGGCCATTGACAGCCTGTCGACGCCTATTGATCCGTACTTCCTTCACGTTTGTCAGCCTCAAGCCTTCAAGCTCGCAGACCATCTCCCCCCAACCCGACCCGCACCACCAGTCCTCATCCCGCCGCCTCCCCACCGCCATGGCGGAGAACCTCTTCCCCCGTCCGGGGCACCCCCTCTCTATCGCACACCCCACGGCCGTGTCGCTGCCCACCTCCAGCCTGGCCACGCCCTCGGCGCCTCCCTCCTGGGCGTGCCACCCGCCCGGGCGCCCGCCGCTGCATCGCTCGCTCCCGCCGCCAGAGTTCCCCGCGGACATGCTCACCACCATCCAATCGCTGGAGGACCGTCTGCGTGCGCACCCGCTCTTCCACCAGCTCATGGCCATCCAGACCCGCCGCGTCTCGCCCTCGCAGTCAGTCACGGCCGACGCGGACGGTCGCCTGGTCCTCCCAGGCCGCCGTCGCGGCGTCGACCTTGTCATCTACTACGGCTTCCCCAAATCGGACGAGGACGTCGAGTACTGCCTGGAGGACACCCCGGGCCTCAGCGAGCACAACTTCGTCGCCCTCAAGAACAGCCTCATGGAAAGCCTCGCCAACGTCAGGCATATGGCACAGGATGCCGTCGCCGAGATGGAGACCAACCTCGCCCAGCAGCTGCACTTTCGCATTGTCCCGCCCGAGGAGGTGCACAACAGGCTCCGGTATATTGTCAGCCGATTTTCCAAGACACGTAAGGAGATATTGCACAAGTATCGCGGGTACGTGCGTAACCGACGCTGGATCGAGAACATCGCCACCAGGCAGAGAAGGGGCTGTCTCACGCACCGCCAAAATAACATTCTCAGGCTGTGGTTGTTCACACACTTTAGCAATCCGTACCCGGACGTCCATGAGAAAAGGCAGCTTATGCGCGAAACGGAGCTCTCAGCCACACAGGTCAACAACTGGCTCATCAATGCACGAAGCAGAGTCTGGAAGCCTACCGTGGATATGATGTCGGGAGATAGAGTTAAGCAGGAGATGAGCAACAGTGAGGGGCGTTACGCTGCCTTTCGGGAAGATGCAGACGTTGACGATCCCAGAAATTCCTTTTCGGGTCCACGCAATGGGCTTCAAGCACCAGATGGACATCATGTTGATGTTGCACACGGACGCTTGCAAGCTGTGCTCGCGCAGGGGCCGCAAGGGGCACATGCCACTCACCCAGTTGCAGAGGAAGGCGCATGGCTCCCACAGCAGAATTGGGGGAATCTGGAATTTCCCTCCGAAGGCAACCTCAACAACTGACCGGCGCCCGGCGAATATTATCTTCTTGTTGTGCTATGATGCAAAGTAACAATCTTTTTGCAAACTTCTCTTTTCCGCCTTGAGAAATTCTGCCGTTTCCCAAATATACTTTATGCAGGACGAAACTTGTTCATGGAGAATGAGCTCCACATGCTGATTTCATGAAACTGGCTGCAGGATTCAGTTTCTCAAGTCAAGTCATCTATACAGTGATGTATTACCTGATCCCACCGTGGTGACATCCGTCGGCATTGCGTTGTAAAGAGTTCTCCGGTCAACTTTTGCTGAAGCAGTGTCTGACTGGCATTTTTATGTTTTCGCTCAGTGCAAAGAAAATATACATCCTCCCGAGAGAAGTCAATGCTCGATGCAATTTTAAGGCATATGGGCAGGATATTTTATAGTCCCGAAAGCTATGGTTACAATGGTTCTTCAATGAGAAGACCTCCACTTCAAATTTGATGGAAACTGGACCGACCTTTACTGCTATTGTCCGATAAATCTAGGTCAAGTTGGGATGTGGCATCCAGCAGAGGTAATCTAGAAATGAATTGTCCGCAAAATGTGCAAGGGTCAGAATTAGACCCCTGACATAGGAAGGTCATACTCCACAGGGGCGACAGAAGACCGCACATGGCAAAAGCAGTCCAGAGATGCAATGAATTTGTTTTTCGTTCGCGAAGAGATGAAGAGTTGAGACAGCTCGCGGACAGCGAATGTTCTTCGTCGTCACAAGATTTATGGCCAAGAAAACGGACTACTGATAAACTCTTATTTTCTTTTCATTCGGACCATTCAGGGCAGGAAGGAGACAAAAAATTCTCTTATTTCAAGAGGGAGAGACATGTGGAAGTTTTTTTCTCTCCGCAACCTTGTGGAGGTCGCAATAGAAAGACTGCAGTTAAGTATTTAATCGCCTTTGGACGAATTTGTATGTCTTATCGTTCACTCGTGTCAATAATAACGCCGGTTTTGCACAAGTTCAGACCTTATTTCTTTGTTGATGTTTCAAAGATGTTGTTAAGACACAAAAAATCATCGAAATCCCGTTTTCACCCGACTGAAGAGCGATAGCATGGAGCCAGTGGTGCGGGCAGAGAACTACGAAGGGCATATCACCCCTATTCTTGTAGCGAGAGAACAGAACGAATTATTATCGTGTAAAGCTCACGCAGCAACCGGTACTGGATGAGTCCTTTCGGAGCGATGTGTAGAGTAGTAGTTTGAGCCAGAGATGCCCACAAGCCCTGTGGTGCAGTCGGACCTACTGATGGATTCCCACGAAACTCTAAGCTATCGCTGCGCATGCACATAAAACGACTGTCCTTCCGTAGGATCCGAAGAGATCCTATTGGAAGGAACGGCAATTTCTGTTGAGCCTACTCACTTGGGATGAAGAGCGTTCGCTGTGAAAATTTGGTTACAATCACTTGTGCAAGAAAGATTGGTTAGTATAAACATTCTCATATTTTCACACCGCTCTCCCCAGCCTTTCGTCTAGCGGGCAGCGTGGTTTAACCAAAACCCAGAGTCAAACTGTCTGTATGAAGCGAAAAAGTAGTACGCGTTCTACTTCGAAATCTGTTTGACATACCCTGCAACGTTTTGTGTGTGTTTGATTTAATCACTGCCTTTGTTTATGGCGAGTATCGAGCTACATATCCAGCGTGCAACGTTGCCTCGAGGCACCATAATGTCCCTGAGGTCCTTTTCGACTGAAAGTCGAGCCTCATCCACTCATGACGGTTATCTATAGCTCTTTAAGTAGTTTTCCTGCGACACTATCATATGAGCACTATCCCTACAAAGCGCAAAGTGAAAACTCACTGTCCTTTGACTTGCGATCACCAAACTTGTAGCAACTTTTCTTTTAGAATGATACATTTTCGGTTTCATTCTCATCTTCCATAACGACCGTAGCAACTGCATTCCAGTCATCCTCACACATATTCTCGATGCGCAAGCTGGGAGGCGCATGTTCGAAACTATCCCCTCCGGACTCCATCCCTTGTTCAGGGTCTCGCACCTGTTTCAGGTAACCAGAGCAATCGAATAAATTCTTGTCAGAAAACCAAACAGATCTTCGAAACGGGCCTGGACAAATCAAAGATCAGCGCAACTCACTTTTAGCTCTAACGACCTTCTAGCGAGTAAGATGTCCCTTCGAATCTTATCGCATTGCGAAAGAAGATTCACGCTCTCTAAATTTGTCCTTGCGACATTGCTTTCAACCTCGTCAACTCTTTTATTCAAAGCGTCCTGCGTTTCAAGAAGTTTCCTCTTTTCCTCTTTCGCACCCTTTACGAGCTCCGCATGTCTTTCCAGTCTGCCACGTAGCCGCTGCAATTGCTTTGTGACGCCGTCGATCAGGACTACTGTATCCTTCGAGTGTTCCCCTTCATGTAGTAGCAGTTTCTGCAAACACTCGGTGGCTTTCCGCATCTCCACAAGAGCAGCCCGTCTCTCTCCCTGTCCACGGGTATCTCCATTTCCACGGTAAAATGTTCTTGCTAACATCGACATAATGTGTTGGAGCTCAGTGCTATGAAGGTAGGCCTTTTTTTCGAGGAGCTACACTTCCCGAGCGGTTGCAAAATAGGAGAAGTATGTTTGGCTGGGGGGCAAGCGTCTCCCTACTTTGCAAGGTATACCTGGGCAACATTTTCACCACATTAACTGTTGCGGCGGAGAGCGTCCGAAAGAGCTGCAGTCAAATATCATGCCACTTCAGTTGTGCAGGTTGGACCCTGTCACTATAAGATTCTATCTCAGCTACTGAAGACAAGATTCAACAATCAGCGCGAAGATAAGGCAGCATTGCGTCAAGTTGATCATATATTTTTTGAACGATTGCGTGAGCTTGGATTGCTCGAGAAACATAGGGATACATGAACGGAAAATAGGGCCGGTGGAATGTTCGAATATGGTACATGGGCAGGTAACTACTCCAGTGCCTTACCTGCTTACTTCTCTATCTTCAGGCTATTCATTGGCTCCAGGTAGTTGTGTTTGAACAGCGTTCTGTTCAACACCGCTTGGCTGATAGTTCTTTTTCCTCCTAACACCATCTTTCCTTGGCGAAGGTGCAGCTTCCCCGGTCGGCGTTGCCCCAAAATTATCCACGATAGATCGAACTGCTGGCCCTACTGTGTCATTTTGCAATGCCAGATTTGTTGCGACTCTCGCCTTTTCCGATAGATGAAAATCTTCGTCGACTTCGCTTGCCATAGTTCTCGCTGCGGATCCTACATCCGCCGCCACTTTGCCCACTTGTTTTGAGATTCCGTACGTCTCATCAATACCTTGTGCGGCAGATTTCCCAGCTACGGCCATTTTGCCAACCTTTTCTGAAACCTGTAACTTCCTATCTACTTCAACCAGGGCATCACGAGTTTCATCTACTTTTTCTGACAGGTGCAGCTTCTCTTCCAGTTGCTCACCAAGCTTGGTCGCTTTCTCCTCAAGTCTTTCTGCCGCGGACCGAGCTGCACTGAAAGCAGACCAGAACCCTGACGTGACCGCATTTGTGTCAGGCAACATCTGCATGATAGAATTTGTCGGCGAAGTGAGTGTCGCGCCCGGTGCACCATTACCCCTTTGAGATCCGCAACCATCATTCCAGCGCTCCATCGAGGCTGGTTTGACACTCACAGCTAGATCTGATCGAGGAAAGACTTGGCCGTCGCGCTGTAAAGCAGACGCAGCTGCTTCCTCGCTGTCAAACTTGATGCGCGCACGTAGTATGTTGCTGGCTTCTATTCGACGAAGCTGCAAGGAAAGAATCTTGCCACCGCATGCAGAAAAGAAGGCGTCAAGATCAGGTCGTGATGAGGTAGGCGGCATGCCATCGATAATTACAGTGGTTGTCTGAGGAGGTAGGTCGGGCGGGGATGATGGAGGCGGGGTTGTTGGAGTGGTAGGTGACGCATTGGGCTGAGGAGTGCCCGCAGTCTCCGCATAGCCGCCCCCACCACGCTGACGATTCGAATGGAAAGCCAAGATGTCTTCGTCGTCGTCGAGACCTTCATCCAGAACAAAGTCAGAGAACTCCTGCGCCATTGTGATGACAGTTCGACTGGGTGCACAACAAGATGTTGTTTTTGGTGCGGATAGAGTTGCCGCGAAAAGCTTGAAGGAGAATGTGCCAATCTTCTGTGCGGCTCAACCCGCGCTGTGTGCTAACGTGGGTGGGCTATTCTCATTGGTAGCATGATAGCTGTTTGGTTTGCTCCGCCTATTAAAGAGTCGAATACTGTATGCAATGGTGGCGGTGCTGTGGAGAACAGATTGGATGCAACAATGCCTGTGGGCGGGTGATAAAATCTCGATATATATCCTAAAAATCCCTGAAAACAGAAAAAATGACCAATGATTTTCATCTGTCCCAGAACCCCCCCCCCCCCCCCCCCCCCCCCCTTCCGGAATAACGACGTCTACGTAATAGAACATCCATGAGAAAATGTATGAAAATGTGTGAATGTGACTCGGTTCAACACCTGGGAATAAGTTCCTCTGAAGAATTCAGCACCGCACAGTATATTCTCTGACTAGAACGGCCAGCGTTCTTCTCAATTGAAACGAAAAGGAGAAAAAGGGTGCAATAAATGCTTATTAAGTTTAATGACGTCTAAATATTTACATGAACGGAACAGTGAGGGCCATTCGTAGTGAGAATGCTCCGCTATTTTTTTTAAGTTTCCACCGAGCCAGCGAGCCTCAATCAAACATGGTAAAAAGTAGGTGGCCCACATTACTTTAGTACTACCCACAGTACTACATTTCCTTCGATAGGTCGTCTTAGCAACTGTGATGTAGTCTTGTATGATATCTCTACGGCGAATCAAAAAGATCCGCCCTTGATACTCTGGGAGTGAATGTATGAAACTGCCGTGATGCAACATCATGTCAAGATGGTACAATGAGCTTTCTCAAGTAGCCTGGTCCTGCTGTTGGAAAAAAAAAAAAAAAACGCCCCAATTGAAAGGCACAATTACACGTATAATAGTGTGCAGGGTTGGACACGTGTACACTAGAGCTTTGGATATCTCAGGATAGTGCGCTATTGGGGAAATTCACGTGTTGCATGACGTCGAGAAAATGCATATACTGTACAATACAGCAGTACAATACATCGACGCCAGCGTCAACACGAATTTCATCTATCACCGCCTCGCAGAGGGCTATATCAGCACAGCCTCATCAGGAGTTTGACGATAGATTGGACGCCGCATTCCTGATCGAAACTTTCTTCTTTTTGGATGTGAATCGCTCCAGAAAGCTCTGATAAGCACAAATTTACCTCCTGTTTCGCACAACAGTACGACACTCACAGAATGAACGCATCATCCCACCTAGACGATTCACTGAATGCCGCAGCCGATGCATACTTGAAGCAGTCAGACATTGTCGCAGAATTGCGTTCCAAATCGTCATGCAATGCGGAAGATCTGGCCGCTGCTGACACCCACTTGCGAGATCTGAAGCGCCAAGTGGATGCCGCTCGCAAAGCTAAGGAAATCGTCGATGGTCCCACAAACGATGTATCCGCCTTCAATCGGGCCGGAACCGAGGGTTTGTTGAAGCGTCGCTTCTTCATCGCTCCTTCGTTTGAGATCTATGGCGGCGTTGCTGGGCTGTACGACTACGGCCCCCCGGGCTGCTCTGTCAAGAACAATCTTCTTGCATTTTGGCGCCAGCATTTTGTTGTAGAAGAGGCAATGCTCGAGCTCGAGGCTTCTTGTCTCACCCCCGAACCAGTGCTGAAGGCCTCCGGCCACGTCGATAAGTTCTCAGATCTTATGGTAAAGGATGCGGTGACGGGCACCTGTTACAGAGCCGATCATTTGCTGCGTGATCATCTTGTATCTCTTCTCCAAGATACGCAAAGCGACTTGACACAGGGTCAGCGGGAGGAGATCGAGGCGCTCCGGGAGCGTTTGGACGAGCTCAGCCAGAAAGAGATGGACGAAATGTTGAGCATGTATGGTGCAAAAGCGCCAGAGACGAGCAATGCCCTTACTCCAGCGTACCCATTCAATCTCATGTTTGCAACACAGATTGGACCTTCTGGGTTGCTACCTGGTTATCTTCGTCCTGAAACCGCTCAGGGGATCTTTGTCAACTTCAAACGACTTTTGGAATACATGGGCGGAAAGCTTCCATTTGCCTGTGCGCAGATCGGATTATCATTCCGGAATGAGATCTCACCAAGGGCTGGCCTACTTCGTGTGCGCGAGTTCCAGCAAGCAGAAATTGAGCATTTTGTCAACGCAGAGGACAAGACACATCCCAAGTTCGGAAACATTCGCGATGTGAAGATAAACATGTACGGGCGCTCTCAGCAGATGCGACCCCCATACAAGCCAATTGTGACCAGTATTGGAGCAGCTGTAGATGAAGGCATTATTGCCAATGAGACTCTCGGCTACTTCATCGGGAGGACGGCGGTGTTAGTAGACAAAATCGGCATGAAGTGGGAGCACGTGCGTTTCCGACAGCACCTGGAGCACGAAATGGCACACTATGCTTCGGATTGTTGGGATCTTGAAATCAACTGTTCTTATGGCTGGGTAGAGTGCGCAGGTCTCGCTGATCGATCCGCATTTGATTTGGGCAATCACTCAGAGAAGTCCGGGCAAGAGTTAACTGCCCGTGAGGTCTATGCCGAACCGAGACATAGGGAAGTACTTGCGGCTATTCCAAACAAAGGGTTGCTGGGTCGCACATTCAAGAAGGATGCGCAGACTATCATGAAATCTTTAGCAAGTATGGAAGAAGCGGAGTTGCTTGCCCTGCAAGCGGCTCTGGCAAGCAAGGGAAAGGCTTCCGTTATTGGGTTTGAGGTGACGAAAGATCAAATCACTTTTAAGGTTGAGAAGAGGACTGAAACTGGAAGAAATTATTATCCCAGTGTGATTGAGCCCTCGTTTGGGGTGGGGCGGCTCTTGTACTGTCTATGGGAGCATTGCTACTATGTGCGCGAGGGTGGCGAAGGTGAAGATGGGTCGGCAATACGGGCTGTGCTGGGATTGCGGCCGAGCATGGCACCAGTGAAATGCGCAGTACTCCCCCTTAGTAAGAACGCATTGTTTGAGGACATGGTCAAAGAAGTAGGCCAGTTGCTTGGGCGTGCGGGGTTAATCAATAGAGTGGACGACTCTGGCCAGAGTATTGGGAGAAGATATGCACGTGCTGATGAGATTGGGACTCCGTTCGGTATTACAGTGGACTTCAAGAGTACTGAAGATCGAACAGTGACGGTGCGAGAAAGAGACTCGACGAAGCAAATAAGATGCACGATCGAGAACGCGGTAGAGACAATACGCGAGCTGGTGGCAGAAAGGAAAACATGGGCACAAGTGTGTGACCAGTTTGGCGTGATTGAGGATGTGTGAGGGATGATGTTCTCACTATGTCAGAATAATTGGTGCGAGGGACAGGATGGGCTCATTCTATCGGGATAGCCTTCGAACATGCAAGGGTCATAGAGAAATCATTAACTAAAAATCTTGCGACTACAGGGTTCAAGTTCTTCGGTACGAAATAGGCACCTCGTCGCTGCAACGCCATCTCGTATGATACTAGTCGGTCTCATTTCTCATTGAGGACGCCGTAAAGAAAACAGGTTTCTTCGCTCTTGGGCTTCTTCCTAAAATTCGCTTGGCAACAGTCTCCTGGACACTGTGGTCTCCCCGCATAGCACTATCTGCAAATACTTGCCGGAGACCCCGGGAAGTATACTCACACCTTGTTAGCTGTTAGTGGTACAGTGGGAGGAGCGGAAATGTTGATATGGTATCTTGTGATCGCGAGCAATCAAATCACAATTCCAGGTGTGCTAGGGTTTAAAACCTTGCATCCATTCTACTACGGTTTTGGCGAGAAGATTCGAGAGCACTCTCTTTGTAAAAATAGCACCCTTGTTGATCATACTGTATTGTGAACTTGAATGGATGGCCATTCCAGACCGTTTTCATTTCAGTTCCTTTGTGTTCGCCGTGTCTACAGGCAGAAGTTTTTTGAAGCACTTCATCGCGACCGCAGAAAATTTAGAAGCGCACGACGACAAAGTGGTGGTTGAGAAGGTGCGGTAGAAGGGTCCCGCTCTGTGGTGCGAAGGTCGAAGAGGTGGGAAACATGGGCTGACAGCATGGGCTGACAGAAAATGTGATCTTTTGATCTCTACAGTGCAAGATAAGCGGAGACTATAAATTTTCCTCACATGCTCATGGCTGTTTTCGGGCTACTGTACAATACTTGTAGTACAAGTCCGCCGGACTTGTACTATCTGGCTACAGAATTGGTGCTGTGATTGGGTCTCAGCCAATGGGACTACAGAAAATAATGGTTGCTGTGGGACGATATCTTTTTGGGTTTCCCAGGGTCTTCGCATAGGGCGCTAGGCACTATGAAGTC